CCCCGCCGTACCCCTCTCTGGAGCAGCAGGAGGAGCAGCTGCGGATCGGGGAAAGCGGACAGTTCAGCGAAGGGCTGGAAGACAGAGGTGAGCCCGGTCCCTACGCCCTGTGCCTCCTCTCCCCATCCCCACAGCCTCCCTAACCTCCCCCAACTCTCACCCCTTTAAATCCCACCCGGCTCCCCTCTTCTAAATCGCCCTTCACCGGCAGCCCCACAACCATTTCTCCCGTCCGAAATCCCCCTCTGCAGCCTTCCTCAAGTTCAGCGAAGGGCTGGAAGACAGAGGTGAGCCCGGTCCCTACGCCCTGTGCCTCCTCTCCCCATCCCCACAGCCTCCCTAACCTCCCCCAACTCTCACCCCTTTAAATCCCACCCGGCTCCCCTCTTCTAAATCGCCCTTCACCGGCAGCCCCACAACCATTTCTCCCGTCCGAAATCCCCCTCTGCAGCCTTCCTCAAATCCAACTTTCTTCTGCCGGCCCCTCTGCTGTGTCCATCGCCCCCTTTTCAGTCCCCGCTATTTCCCCCCTAACGTTGCCCCCTCTCTGCAGCCCCTCTAGCATTTGTTCCTTCACCATCCTCCTTCTGTAGCCGCCTAGCGTTCACTCGGACACCCCATTATTATAATTGCTCCTCCAGCACCCACCCGGAATCGCTCATCACACGTACCAAGTCATTTAAGGTCCTCAATAATCCCCGCCCCCCAGCACACCTGCAACTCTTTTGCCTTCATAACCCCTGTAGCCCTTGTAGTACAGACCCTGTATACCCTGCACCTGTCTCCTACTTATCAAATACAACTCGCTTAATAGCTGCAGTCTCCTCGTCTCTCCAATAACTCCCCCCAAATCCTGCCCTCAGAAGCTTCCTTAGTTCCATCCTGTACACACTGCTGTGTCTATGCCTATGCCCAGGCCGTCATAGCTTCAAAACAGCCCTTCTTTGCCAAATGAGGCAGACAGCCTAGGTAGTTCATGGAGATGCTCAGGTATACAGCCAGTCTAACTGCTTTCTATCAGAGTGGAATGGGAAAAGATGGGAGAAACCCCAAGGATACAAACAGGGATAGGGGTGGGCAGTCAAAGATAAGGTGTTCCAGAGGCTGCAGACTAGATGAATGGGAGAGGAGGGGAACCAATGAAGGAGCTCGGAGGAGAAACCATCACTACTGGGGTGTCTGCTAACCTACTGTTTGCTGATGGGGAAACAGTAGAAAGGCTACTGTTTGCTCTTGGAGCAGCAGCTGTCAAGAGGCCATCAGTGATTCAGGGGAGCCTCTCCACCAAAGGGCTTTGGTTTGTGGAGCTGTTTGGCTCTGTGGGCCATGAGGCAGGGCTTAAATCTATAGTGCTCCTAAACATCTAAATCCCATTGCCAACATAAGCTGTTCAAAAACCATCAGTTGGCTTTCTCCCCTCAAATGCACAAATGCAGTCCTCCTTCTTCTCTGCATGCCACTTATCCTTGCTGATTCCCAGGTTGTGAGAAGCTTCCATTTTATTTCTCTGCTCTCCTCCTTCATTACTGTCCTGTCTCCCTTCATGCCCCAACTAGTGCTCCATTTATATTCACTCCCTATGCTCCCAGTCTATTGCCCCCCACCTTTCCCCTATGTCTTCCTCTCTTTTACTGTCCTATTCTACTATCTGCACCCCATATTTCCCTGCATCTCCTCCGTCTTCCTCCAGCTCCCCATATTCCATTTTTTCTTTAGTTCCTTTGCAGATGGCTAATTGCAGAGTATAAGAGCATATTCTTTTTCCTTGAGGTTCATTCATATATTGGGGAAAATATGGGAATCTGTGCCTATCTTTATCAGGGGCTGCCTTGCTTTCATGGTCAAAGGTTAATCCATGACTGGAAGTCCTATTTGCTACAATAGTACAAATATATAATAACTACTACTGCTAGAATGGTAGACATCTTGACAGAGGGCAGCTTGTAGCTTCTGTTCCACTGGAAGTCATGGGAAATGTCAGCCATTTTGACTAAGGTCAAAATTCAAAAGTGTGGCTGGAATTTGGAGATCTAGAGAAACTTAAAATCTGCAACCTCCACCTTCTGACATGACGTTTGTGATAAAGTGGTCAGAGCTGGCACCTTTTAAAATCAAGGGAGATTTTGAGAAGAGACATCACAGCTAAACTGGTCAGTAGTAGGGTTAAAAGGGAAATTGGCCAGTAGGCTGACTCACTGTCTCTTCTTTTCCTCACCATCACACCTCAGGACCATTTGCCAGTTACTCCTCAGGCCCAGGCAATAACCCTCCATCCCCAGATGGTTCTCAGTAATTCTAGGAAAATTTTCAGTATGATTTTTGCAGTTTGTTTATAATATTGCTGAAAGCTTGTGTTTTAGACTACACTTTTTATAGTGGCTCTTTCCAATCAATCATCAACATAGACAGAGTCCTATAGGTATGAATCTCTCATGTAGTTGGCTTCAATAATTTTTCAAGTACTTCTCAGGATCCCTTTGCGTGTTGTTAAGTCAAAAGAGGTCACTGAAGTATTTGGAGGGTGGGGAATAGTTCTTTAAGGGCTTTCCTTAGGCAACAAATCTTTCCATAGACTCCAACGGGCTTTGGATCAAGCCCTTGATACAACATTGCCAAATACAATAGATTTGTTTTTTCAGTTAAAAACCCCAACAACATAGAAATTCAACTGTGACGTTTTAAAATGCTATTTTAGTCAAATTTAAAAAAAAATAAAAACCTCAAGCTTCTGTTAAATCAGCATGTGGTATCGCTTCAAAAACATGTTGTGTTTTGGAATTATTATTTAATGTAATAAACCATATTATTTTTTGTACTGTAGGTATATTCAGGGAGTTAAACATAATATAAAATGTACCAAATTTAGTGCATTTAACAAATGCATCCTCTTTACATGTGGGAATTTTAGATGTTAAATCAAGTTATTGTTTGCAGCAAAATTATTCAGCGCCGCAGTTTCAGGGTGGAGAAATCTTTTTCCATAGATGCAAGCTTGTAGCAATGCAGGTCATATTTAAAGATAGTCTAACATGTGCTATGACCAGTTAAAATTAAACATTGTTTTGTAACATACAGTGAAAAGATCCAAAGCTCCTCTTCATGAATTCGTTTACTATATGTAAATTAATAAGTTATTTTTTTTTGTAAAAGGATGTTCATGCTATGTGTTTGGTAGCAGCGTGAAAGTGTGTGTGTATTTGTATTCAATCCCTTAGGACTCATTAAAATGAGATGGTGCTTCTTGTGGGGAAAAATATAAATAAATAAAAGTGGGTGTATTATTTTAGGAAGGAGGAAAAAAAGTTACATCCTGCTAACCAGGAATATGACAACCATTTTTAACAAACACATTACAGTGTAGCTCTCATAGCAGGGGTGCTTTGATTTTTATGAAATTAAGAAGCTGAATCTTATGCAGTGGGGAGCTCTCTTGGCACTTGAATTACAATTAGCGATAAAAGGGGCTAGCTGTGAACATTTATTTCCTTTTATTTAGCTAAGATTCTGTATGATTCATAAACATCTATTGTATGCCTTGGTCTTCATGGCTGCAGCTGTCTGTTACCTGGAATTGGATGATGTATTTAAAGAAAGAAACAAGCAGGAATAGATGTATCATTCTGTTTTATGTTTGTTTCGGCTTCGAGCCAAAAATCAAAACCAAACCAAAAAACAAGGAGAGATGTTCTCTGTGATTATACAATTAAAACAATGAAATCTTACCTTTTTTTTTAAGACCTGTTCTTAGGTGTTAGCCCTACAAAAGCTACCATTTAAATTGTGCACCTTTGTTGATAGTGGCAGCAGAGAGTGCTGAATAGATATGGAGGAGGAATTACCCTCTGAACCACTTGTAATGGTCCTATGAACACTAAGTGGGAAGCTTGCATTGTTGCTACCCATTCCAGACCTCTCTGTGAGTATGTAGAGGAATCAAAGCCTTGAGGACTACTAGTCTGGTAATTTGAAAAGCATTAAATGTGTGTTGAAAATAAATGCAATTTAAATTAAAAAACATAAGAAATAGGATCTGTATTCTAGCACCAAATTCTTCTCTTACCTGATAGTGTTCAGCTTTTCTTGAAAATAGAGTTGCATGCCCTCAAGAATTTAATAATTATGTGTGAGAACACAGTACAAAGATTAAGTAATTCTTACAACACCCTTGTGAGGTATCCTAGGCAAATAGTATTCCTGTTTACCAATGGGGAAACTGAGGGAGTGAGGTTAAATGATTTTCCCAAGTGCACACAGTGAGTTAGTGATAGAACTAGGATTAGAACTATGAGTACCTAATGCCCAGCTCTGTTCTCAAACCATTTATGCTGCCACTCATCTATAATACAGTAGCTTTACAAATTCAGAGCCATACAGTAGCTTCCCTTTTCAAACACCATGTGTTTTTTGAAAAAGTGAGAGACATCTTGGAAGAAACATTGGAGAAGACTGGCTGGCTTTTATATTTGCTAAATGAAATATTGTGGGTTAAATAGATTTGGATCAGATTTTACAGTTTCTGGTAAAAGGGAATATATTTATGATATTCATTTATTTATTTTTTAATTAGGGGGTAAAAGAAAACAGGAGAGAATGTTTTAAAGCAGGGGTGAGAGGGAGCAGAAGACTACCACTATTTTTCTAATATTTAAATTGAGTTATTAGGTAGGAGTTGACAAGAAGAGTTCCACAGTTGGAAAGCATGGTGAAAGACAAAATCGTTATAGAAATTGGTTATGGCCTAGGCCTCAATCATGCACTCACTAAACAAAATGAGACTTTAGCACTGATTTTAGTAAGAGCAGGACCAGGTCCTAAATTTCTGTCTGATGGCCCTTTATGGGAAAATTGGAGAGCATCTAAAGAAGAGCAATAAAAATGATTAAAGGTCTAGAAAACATGACTTAAGAGGGAAGACTGAAAGAAGTGGTTTGCTTAGTTTGGAAAAGAGAAGACTGAGAGCGGACATGATAGCAGCTTTCAAGTACCTAAAAGGGTGTTACAAAGAGGAGGGAGAAAAATGTTTCTCTTTAACCTCTGACGATAGGACAAGAAGCAATAGGCTTAAATTGCAGCAAGGGAGGCTTAGTTTGGACATTAGGAAAAAACTTCCTAACTCTCAGGGTGATTAAACACTGGAATAAATTGCCTAGGGAGATTGTGGAATCTCCATCATCAGAGCTATTTAAGAGCAGGTTAGACAGACATCTCTCAGGGATGATCTAGATGGTGCTTGGCCCTGCCATGAGGGCAGGGGACTGGACTTGATGACCTCTCAATGTCCATTCCTGTTCTAGTGTTCTATGATTCTGTGGGGATTGTATGTCCTTGCAGGAAGATATATGTTATGCTCTAATAGAGATATAAGGTGGGTAAAGAAGTATCTTTTATTGGACCAATTTCTGTCTGAGACAGACCAGTTTTAGGTACCAAGAACTTTTCTTCAGGTCTAATAGGTCTTTTTCATCTTTAAGTGGTGTGATGCCAAAATACATCTGCTCCTGCTTTGATACTCCAGTCAATTGCTATGTTTTTAATAGATTGGCAAGTTACCTTCTCAGGTGTGTGAGTCTGGTGAACTTGACACTCAAAACAAGTTTTTCCCTATGTTCTTATAGCTCTCTTCTGGAACTAACTGGACAAACCTTGAACCAGTGAAGTCAATTAAAGTTTTATCATTTACCTAAATAGGTGCAGGTTCAAGTCCTTCAAGTAAGCAGTGTCTACATGGGGATAAAAAAAATCGGTGGCTGCCGCAGGATAGCTGGCTCACTTCTGCTGCTGAAAAATTTCTGTGTAGACACTAGGGCAGGAGCCAGCCTGCTAGAATTCTATAAGGGTGGAGGCAGGGTCCCAGTGTTCATGCTAACCTGATGGTCTACAGAAGAATTATTAATCCTGCTCCTTGAGCTCCAGGAGCTGACCCTGGCCAGCTGTGGCCATGCTGGTGGGGCTTTTATTCACATGGAAACATTAAAGCCAAAACTTGTTCTCCTTGCTCTCTGAAGCATTCCTATTAGCTTTGTTTGTATGAAGTCAGTGAGGTGAGTAGAATTTGGATCATAATGTGCCATATATAGCTTTATCTATATTATCTATTAGGTACTGAATTGACACAGATATGTTTTTTTAAAAGGAGTAATGTAATTTTCATGCCTCTTTGTGTATTGCCTTTATCAGGTTTACTAGAAAGCAGTACAAGGCTAAAACCTCATGAAGCTCAGAGCTACAGAAAGAAGGCGTTGTGGGTTTCATGGGTCTCCATCGTGGTCACGCTGGCTCTTGCAGTGGCTGCATTCAGTGAGTACTGGAAATATTTTAAACTCTTTAAGCCATTTTCTTGGCTACCAGAATTTCTCAGAATTCTACAGGATGCTTTGTGCTTTTATATCTGAATTATTGGTGCCGTGATTCCTTTGTAGACCACTTGGGTCTGCGTGATGCTTATAAATTAGTAAAACAGCTTTTTCTTTTCCTCTCTTTTTTCTTTAGAGGAGAGGGCTGTTGAAGGTCGGAACAAGAAATAGGATATTTTGATTCCTGTTAGCATTTGTGCATGTGGAAACCTGTTCATTTTTCAGACTAGAATTAAAAAATCATTATACAGTGGATTGCTTTTAACCAAGGAGGTCAGACATGAGAAGTCTAGACCTACCTAAGGCTTATATTTGGCATGCTCTGAAGACAGAAGAGGAAATGTGGTGGGGGAAATGTATAATTTCTCGTAGGCTGACAAATACCCTAACACAAAGCTAATTTTGGGGAGTGAATTCCCAATCTGTTTAATAAGACTATTTTCCTTCAGGCAAATTTAATGACTTCTATCTGGTAATCATTTTCATATGGAGGAAAAAAAATTCAACATTCTGATCATGTGAAAAACAGGATTATAGGTTTCTTTTATTTTTTAATTTTGTGATGAGTGAAAGTCTTTATTTAAATGCCCTAAGCAGCACTTGTTTTCTGGTTTTTAAAATAACACATTTACTATCAGATTCTTTTCCTAATAACACAATGTTCTTTATTTAATTTGATGGATAAACAGGACACATCCTGGGACCTAAATTTTTCAGTGAATGAAAAATAAGTTTGTTTTTAGAGCCCATAATGTTTACTGCTCATTAAAAAGGAAAAGCTCCAAATGCTTCTAGCTAGGAGACAAGAGGCTTCTGAGATCCTCAGAATGTCATCCTTCATTTTGGAAAAGACAGAGTTCTATTTTCTGGGAGCAGCAGCAGCATGTGTTTTATTATTCCAATCTGCAATGTTGGATCTGCTGCTGGGAGCTGGTGTCAACTCCCAAGAGGGATTATTAGAATCTGACCAAATGGTCCCTGAAAAACTCAGCATATATTACTTGAAGCTATATATATGAAAAACAAGCACAACAGTTTGACTTAAAAAAAGGAACATTTAAAAGCAGCATCTAATGCATTATAGAACATAGGCATTTGTAAGAAAGTAGGACAGCTGAGTTTACATTTTGTTCTCCTTCATGAAAATTTAGTAATGACTTTTTCAGACTGGCACTGTAAGAAGATTATTATTGTCTGTTTCAAAGAGTTTTGTTAGGATAGTTTTATAAAGACCATAGACCAGGTGTGATCTATATAAATGAATGGTAGTCAGTTAGAAATAGGAATTATAGTTATTTTGATTTATTTGTAGTATAGCTAATGGAATTATTTGAGTCATTTTTTCAGAGATTAAATTTTAATTTTTAGGGAATACTGAAATTTCGTCCTACTGAAAACAGCTTTTATTTATCAAAATTTCAAGATATTCATAAGTACAAAATGAGTTGACTATAAATATCCATTTTCTGTGAAATACTATGACTTTTAGTCTGAATAATTAGATTATATGAAAATCCTTCCTAGTGGTGGTTGGTTGTTCTTTGTATTATGGTGGAATAGAAGGTGAAAACTATGTGTGGCTACGATGGTGGGGACACTGTAGAAGACAAACAAGATGCCAGAGAAAATAATGCAAATACAACTAAGGTCTATGAGATGTAGGACAATGGTTTGGGATGATGATTATGGTATCACCTAGGAACTCCAAATAAGTGTCAGGGCCTCATTATGCTACTGTATGGGCAAGTGATAAAGCAGATATAACTTACAATTGATAAGCCAATTCTTTAGCTGGTATAAATAAGCATAGATCCACTGAGCTACGCCTATTTATACCAGCTAAGGAACAACTTTAGTTGTCAGGACACATCGGTTGGATGAAAACCAGTACAGGTAGGGAGATGAGGTAATGACCTAGATGGTAAACTTTGGTTTATTTTTATTATGAATTCTCATCTAATCACCTGTTTATAGGTTGAATTTTCTAGTCATGCACCCTCGAGACCTGACCAGTGCTGATCCAGAGCATATATTGGACCACAAGAGGTCAATATTAACTAGCACCTTGGTGTCCAACCAATTCTGAAGCAGTAACTACTATAGCGATCTAGCCACACTCAACCAACCAAATAGCCACATGTAGTTAGTGGCTAGCATGTTGGGTACCATGGGTCTAGCAGTATTACTAACTCTTCCACTGCTTACTATGATGTTAGAAGACATTTAGGGATAAACCAGTGTTAATAACAGCACAGAACACTGAGAGACAGGACTGGTGGTTATAAACAAACTTTAAGGGACTGTGGGAAACTTAGCTGGATGTCCACTTTTCATGGATGTTGCCAACTAAAATCATGCCGGACCACAGCTATTGCCAGATCAGAGAGTGCCAGATTAGAGAGTTTCAGCCTGTAGTCATCTCCTTTGTTTACTTTGGAAAATATTTAATGATGCATCAACTAGGCCCTGATCCTGCAAATTACGACCTGTTTCACGTCTCTGTGTGCAAAGCAGATGAGTAAATGTTTGCAGGATTGGGGCATCTTAGAGAGTAAGCTTTTTGGAGCATTCATTTCACATAGTCACTGAGCAATTGTCTCTGGGCGTGTACATGTCAGGACTGGAAATGGGCAACAGGATGTATCACTTGATGATTACTTAGTCTCTTCATTCCCTCTGGGGCACCTGGCATTTGCCTCTGTTGGAAGATAGGATATTGGACTAAATAGTCTGACCAGTGTGGTTTTTTTAATGCTCTTACATAGAAAAGATTTTTTTTTTTAAAGTCAGTACAAGAAGCTATGGTAAATATTCAGCACACACGTGATCTCAGGAAAATACTTAAAATGGTAATGGCCCAATTTGTATGGACTATACCAAATGAATACGTCATTCAACTTCATAGTGAAGTTGGCTACCCCACAATGAGTGAACAATGGATCACTTTTTCTGTAATGCATTGTTAATTAAGGATCACCTTCTTGCCCTTCATTTGAATTTATTGGGATTATTGACATGTATAGGGAAAGCAGAATTTATGCCCACCTATGCCCATAAACATCAATATTAAATCTCTTTACATATTTAAGTGATCTATTGTCATATAATTAACTTGTAACAAATATATTACTAGAGCTTTTTATATACCTACTATTAAGTGCATTTTGTCCTTTGTCATTTGTTCCGTGAGTGATTGGTCCATACGGTAATTTAGAATTTTTTAATTCTGATTGCAGTGTCACAGTTGACCATCTCATTAAAGTCTCCCGTGTTATATCATTCATTATCTGCTCTTTTTCTTTTATATATTTTTTTTCCAGTTGTCAATTTGTTCCTTTATCCAATATTCCTGAATTAGGAGGCATGGCAGGTGATTAAAAGGTTGCTGTCTGTCAATTTAGGCCATCTGACTCAGACAATCCTTAGAAACACCTGCTATTTCTTCCTGCCTATTCTATCACGACTCATTACAACTATTTTTACTATTTATTTGTAAAGGCAAAGTGTTGTCTATACAGATCTGATCTTCAGTTTGAGTGAGGAATAATCTTTCCACTGTATGTTACTTTGGTGAGAACCTGCTTTGCTAGATGTTTGATAGTTGTCAGACTTCATTGCCTGCCTTCCTACTGCTGCCTTCCAATTTGTCATTAGGTTCTCCCTGTACGTGTCTCTCTCTTCCTTCTTTCAGTCTTCATAATATTTTTCCCCTCAGGGAGGCCTGTACTTTCTTACTGCACCGCTGCTATAGCACATTACAGAACCTTGTGTGGGGAGTAGTGGTGAGACTGCATGAAACCTGCATCTGTAAAATAGAGACATTGTAAGGGTAATCAAAATTATGGGAGGTGTGTGTTTGGAGAGAGGGTGGTGGAAGTTGAGGCTTGTTCCCTTCTCACTCAGCATTGTTTGCAACTGAAATAATTCCCAATTTTTGTTTTACAATCTCTATCTTTTGATGCTGCAATGCAGTCACTGTCCTTGCATCCCAGATTTCCTAGAACTGCATTCAGAACTAATTTTGCATCTCCTTAACCAGCTGGAATGGTCACTGAGAGACATTCCCATCTAATGGGATAAACTTGCTGTTCCTGCAGAATTTGCACAAGTTTTAATATAGTAGTATTCTTAAAGGAGGTTGATCAATCTCTGGAGTGTTGATCTCCTGGTAAGTGTAAACAAGGCCCTACACTGTTGAAAAATAAGAATGGCAATAGAAGCTGTTTTTTCTTCAGCTCAAAGAGTAGTTCAATTGCTGTAAGATGCAAAAACATTCTAATCTTGAAGACTGTTCAGCTACTTCAGAATGTGGATTCCTGCCTCTGAGCAGGCTATAGTATTCCAGTTGGCTTCTGGGTGCCGTTGAAATAGTTGGTTCTAAGAGTAGAGCTATAAATGATTTTTTGAGTGCCTTTAAGGTGCAAATCTACAAAGCCCTTAATTGTTTGGAGGCCAGACTATATCAAGACTATTTATTCTTGTTGTGGCACTTGTATTTTTTGGGGGGATCTGCTTGCTTCCACTGAAGACCAACAATGTCAGATGAATATGTTCACTCTGCCTTTCTCCTTATTTTAATTGAGATAAGAGTGGGCTTTTTTTTTTTTTTTTTTTTTTTTTTTTTTTTGTCAAGAGTTGGTTTTAATTTTTGTAATCTATTATCTGAAATGATCCTGGGCACAATACAAGTAAATAAGTAAAATGAGGTTAATTTTTCCCAAATATTTATAGAATCTCTATTTAAAAAAATATTTGATCCATAACTGTTTCTTGCCTTTTAAATAACAGGAAAATTGCATTGCATTAACATCATGTTTATTACTTACTGCTGAGTTTTGACTGCACAAACAACATGGAAGTCCAAGTTATTTCATAACAGCAACTGCAACTTGGCCATCTTGGGTCAATTTCATTCTTGATGTTAATATTATTCACTATGGTAAT